ATTTCTGAGCCAAAGCACGAGAAATTCAATGGGATTTCTCCATACATTTCTATGGATCTTCAGGCCTAGTTTCATATCAGAGTTTAGAGCCAGATCAATGTAATGCAACTCTGGTGTTCCTTCAAATTCTAATGGGGCTTTGGAAAAAAAGAAACCTTCGAAACAATTCTTCCTTGTCGTTGAAATCCAATCCTGTCTTATCATCCAGATGAGGACTCGCAGGCTTTGATCCCTGTGGATGGAAATCCTTCCCAAGATGTTTGTGCTGATTTTGTAGGAGCCAGGAATGCACAAGAGCAGCAGGAATTCAGACAGAGCCCCGGAGCTGCAGCGGCAGGCTGGGAACGCGGGGTTTTGGCGTTCCTGCTCGCTGGAGGCTGCTCCTGCCCCACCATCCCAAGGCAGGGAATGTCCTTGAGCTCCGTGGGATTTCATGGATGGCAGAGCACCCCCAACGCCCAGTTTGTTCTTCCTGCCAGCGCTAACAAATCATAAATACGGAACAGCAGGGCCGGATCTGTAGCAGGTCACTGCGCTGTGTTTATCCAGCAGTTTTCCTGATTTGGATGCGTTTATCCCTAAGGAATCTTTCTGCTGCAGGAGAGGTTTGATCTGAGGTGATTCCCCAGCTGGTGGGAGGAGGTCAGACAGCCACAAGGAACAGCGTGTCTGAACTTGACTCCTCACAGGAATCCCCTTGTCCCATCCCTGGAATGTCCAAGGCCAGGTTGGACAGGGCTTGGAGCAACCTGGCATAGTGGGAGGTGTCCATACATATCCATGGCAGGGGTGGAATGGGATGAGGTGTAAGGTTCTTTCCAACCCAAACCATTCTGGAATTCTCTACATGGTCCCAGAGCATTTCTCTGGCTCCTAAAAGATGTTTTCTATTCCCAAAACATGAAGCTTTTCCAGAGGCAGAATTCAGATATATCTGAATAATCCACGTGATTTTTGTGGATTTTACAGAGCCTCCTTGGCTGGGTGGTGTGATGGGAAGGGAGTGATCACTTCCCACATGTCCTCACTTCACCGGTGCTGCCGTGGACTCCTGGAAAAATCATTTCTCCACCGTATTATCCTCTGTAAAGAAGAGAGAACTTCACACCTGCCAGCCCCCGTGGGGATAAATGCCTTGGGACAGCCTCTGGATACAGCCCAGGAGCTGCAGGCCCTGCAGGACAGATCCCAGGGCTGGCAGCAGAGATGGCGTTCCATCCCGCCCGTGAACATCTCAGCCAGGATTTTAAACCACCTCAGCCTCTGTCTGAACATCCTGCCTTCATTAAGGGCTTTTAAAAACATTTTGGCTTTGGTAAAGCTTTGCCCTCAGCTCCTGAAACTTGGAGTAGCTGAGCTTTCATTCTCATCCCAGGCTTAGTACCCAAGGACCTGTCAGTCAGGTGAGGGAGACTCGCTGGTGTCTCGAGCTGATTTTATGGATTTATGCAGTTCTCTCCCAGCGCTGGAGTCACAGCCGGATTTCTAAATGCCAAAATAGAGATTATAAGAGTGTCAAGCTTCATTTTGTTTTCACTTCACAGCTAATTAGCATTGATTTTCATGCCGTTGCTCCTGCATAGTATTCCACCGACATCACCAAACGGGAGAGGCTCGTTCTCACCCTGCCATCATCAATTTTAAACCCTCCTTGGGACAGAAGGACTTCGGGCTTGGGGTTTGGCAGCCAAAGCTCCGTCCCTTGGCAGGGTCTGAGCCACGCATGGCAGTCGAGCTCCTTGAAGCTGATTTTTCCCAAAGTGAGAATTCCCTGGGCAGGCAGTACGTTCCTAACGGGGAAAGCAGCAGGAGCTCCTTTGCCAACATCTGCAGAGCGTTAAGGGTTGGGAATGATCCCTTAGTGGGAATTAGTGGGTGCTTGTGACCTCCCAAACAGGCCAGGCTCAGCTGGTGGCATCTCTCTTTTCATCTGTCGAGAAGTCCAACATTGGTAAGAGATAACAAACGGGTCTGGCTCAGGAGAACAGCCCTAAACCAGGTGGGGATTCCAGCAGGTGCAGGTGTCCCTCAGTGGATGCCTGTGGAGGTGACAAAATCACTCCTGGAACAAAAATAACAACAAAATCAGACGTGGTGGTGGAATTAATGCCCATCCTCGTGCATTCCCGAGGGAGCCCACGCTCCCCCACGCAGGAAACACGCATTTCCTAATCCGCAAATATCCAACCTTAAACCTTGCAAAGGTTCTTTTAATGTGCGTTTAGCTGCACACCAGCAGCGTGGAGAAGGGGTGGGATGTGTAAAATCCATGTTTTATGTATATTATTCAGTTTTTTCCATGGATGTTTTAGTGGTTGGCATTGAAGGGAGAGAGATCCGGAGAGCAATTTTAGATTTAAATCATCAAGCAGTTATTCTGAAACTAAAAGCACTTGTTCTCAGCTGGTTTATTGCAGTCATAGAAAGTGCTCAGGCAGATTATTTGTGAGGGGAGAAAAATGTATTTTGATATTCCCATGAAATCTTAGATGGGATCAGGAGTCATTACCACGCCAATCCCAAATTGTGTGTGTGTTATTAATATACACATCATGATTTCTGGGATGGAAAGAGGAGAAACTGTGAAAGGCTCTGATCAGATCTGGAGAAAAACGGGGAATTTGAATGAAGCAAAGCACAAAACTCAGCCCTACAAATCAAAAATCCGGACTGCGTGTGAAAAACCCTGGTGGAAACATCAACCCCCACCGCGTTATCCCCGTGGCTATTGGGATATGGGAAAAGGCATCAAACTTAAGGGTTTGACATGAATGATGGGTTTATGGGGATTAACGGATCTGGAGCAGCTTCTCCAAGGAATTCCAACAAGCTGGCGGCTTCCAAGGATTGTCCCCAGTGCCCAAAGCACCCGAAATCCCTGGGGATGGGCTGGGTGATGTTGGCAGCAAGCAAATCAGGCGAGGATGATATCACCAGGAGCTGCTGATGGAAGCTCTCTGCTCAGGATGAGTAAGGGTTCCTCGTGCGTTAAAGTTTCCACATTCCAGGCATAGCTGGATGCAGGCAGATTTTCCACAGGAGCTGTGTGAGGGAGATGTCTCCTCCAGGACCCTGGAGGAGACCGGTTCCCCCTCAGAGGAAGCCAAAGCACCAAGGAATGGGCAGGATCAGCGCCAGCTTTGGTCCATCTTGCGTCCATCTGTGCGGAGGTGCCCGGTGGATTGATCAGGAGCAGATGTTCACACCCAGCTCCCACTCAGGGTGAACAAAGAGATCTTTCAACCCCGTCTTCTTCTCTCCTTAGATCCAAGATACTCCTTGGATGATGTGTTGGACTCCCAAGGAACTGGAGGTGAAACTCCAGAGCTTGATCCCACCATCCTCTGCCCATGAGGCTGCGCCGTGTTCCAGTGTGGAGCAGAGGGAAAGGCAGAAAAATTAGGATTTTCTGCCCTTTGGGAAACACCTGAGAGCATTTACACAACTTTATTTCTTTATTTTTCCATGTTTATCTCCTGTTCCAATATTGAACAAAAGGGAGAAACTCAGCTTCCTGTGAGCATTAATTTTTTTTTTCGCTGCTTACTCCTCCCATTCCACCATTTTTCTAAAGAGGGATGGCAGCAGGGATGGATGGATACTGCAAAGGAGCAGCTTTTAATTTAAAAACATAAAAAAGAGATGGAAATCTGTCTGCTCCAGGGCCTTGCAAAAAAGGCACACAGAGCAAATTTTAGTGTTTTACACGTTGTTTCCAAACAGAAACCAATTCTTCCGAAATGAGTAATCTGACCGGCAAAAGATGTGACGCGTCAGAACAAACCCCAAAAATATCCGCACGGAATTTTGAAATGCCATTTTTGAGATTCAATCACGTGAGTCAGGGCAGCATCTCCCCACGGCCAAACGGGCACGAAGGGCGCCGTCCTTTTATCAGGATGTTGTTTTAAAACTTGATGAATTGCTCACGTTTCAGCCCAGAACTGACACGGGCTGGGTTCATGACCTGGGTGACTCAAGGGAAAAAGCCAAGGCTGCACCTTCAGCGAGGCCACCCTTGTGTCCGGCTGCTCCAGCAAAGCCAGAAAGGAGGAGGGAGGGGAGGAAGGCTCTGCTCCAGCGCCTTTTCCAGGGATCCGGCTGCCATACGGGAAAAGAGAGGAGCTCTTGAGGGAGATGAGTGCCACGAGCAGCTCACAAACCACCCCTTGTTCGGGGCTCTCCTTTCAGGCACGATGCTCAATCCTCTGCTGAACCCCAGCCAGCTTCGCTTGGGGTTGTGTCCAGGAGGAGAAAAACCAGGAGGATGTTGGTGGTTGGGAGGCGCTGATCTCTGCTCCCTGTGACAGGGACAGCACCCAGGGAATGCCTGGAGCTGTGTCCGGGCATGTTTAGGGTGGATTTTAGGGAAAGGTTCTGGCACTGCCCAGGCTCCCCAGGGAATGGGCACATTCCCAAGGCTGCCAGAGCTCCAGGAGAGTATGGTCGGTGCTCCCAGGGATGCTCAGGGTGGGATTTTGGGGTGTGTGTGGAGGCACAGGGGTTGGATCCATGATCTTTGTGGTAACTCTGTGTTTCTGTGATATCCCCACACACTCCTTGTGACCATGTTTTGAGGGAAAAGCTTCTTTGTGCACCGTCACAAGCACTATCACTTTTCATCTCTCCTCATCCCCCTCATCCTCCTCATCCCCTCTCCTCAGCTCTCCCCACCATCCCTCACCCCATCCCAAGGCACCCCCTGAGGGATGCCCGGACCGCCTCCGGAGGCCGCAGAGCCCCACATGCCGCCGTTCCCTTTCACACCGCAGACATTTTCAGATAAAATCCACAGATAAAACCCCCCAGCCCGCTCCTTTACCGCCCCCATCGCCCTGAGGGCGCCGGGCCCCCCTCACCGCCCCCCCGCCTCCCCTAGGGGGCGCACTGCCCCGGCGGCGCGCGGCGGGGGGCGTGGCCCGCGCGCCGCCGGGCGGTGATTGGCGGGAGCGAGGCTATAAATAGGGGCCGGCGGCGGGGGGACAAAGCAGTGAGCGCGGGACCGGCGGGCGGGCGGGCGGCGGCGCGTCCGCGGCTCTGCCTCTTTCTCCACCGCAGCGGCTTTATTGTGTTTTTCACGTTATCTTTGCCTTTTTCGCGAGGAGCCCGGGTGTGGTTTGGTTTTTTGGTTGGGTTTTTTTGGTGGTTTTTTTTTTTTTTTTTTTTTCCCCTCCTCTCTTCTGTTGTGGCCGGCCGGAGGGACTTAAGGGGAGATCAATGAAGGAAAGAAGAGCGAGCCAGAAGTTATCGAGCAAGGCGGTGATGGATCCCAACCAGAACGTGAAGTGCAAGATCGTGGTGGTGGGGGACAGCCAGTGCGGGAAGACCGCGCTGCTCCACGTCTTTGCCAAGGATTGCTTCCCCGAGGTGAGCGGGACGGAGCCGGGCTGGGCTCGGGGGTCGGG